AATTTTTTTCATTTGAATTGAAGCATAAATGCATCTGATCATTATGGGACATTTAGGTTAACAAGATCTTTCGATTCCAACAGAAAATGTAAAAACAGCAAATTCACCAAAAAAATGCAAGTTGAATTATTTCGCTCATTTTTGCAAAAAAGACTACGTCAAATGCATGGAAAAGTCGTAGATTGATTAAATATGAGCATAAAAAACCATATGTGAGTTACAGTAGTGTGAATTACATAAAATGGATGTCAATATCCTTCAACATTGACCATTCGTTTTGAGATTTTGTTCCATCTTGTATTTTTATTTTCTTCAGAAAAGTGGTTTAAAAGTAGATGGCAAGGGCAACATTATCAATACCTTGTGAAAAAAATTTGCTGCACGAATGAAAACATTCTATAAGGAGGTTCTATAAGGAGTGCTTAACAAATAGTTCAAAACCGACAACTTCAGTGCAGAAAAGATAATAAAAAAGGAAAATATTTAATTTCATCTCGTATTTATTTTTCTTACACATTTGGCCACCTCGTGGCAAAGCAATTGTAAATATACGCACACCAACTGTGTACATCGGAGAAGAAGGACAATTTCGGTAATTCTTTGAATAACACACATTGCTTGAAGCCACTCAAAAGTTGAATGTATTTTTATGTTAGCGACGGTGCCATCGAAGCAAAATAAAACAATATCAAATAAAATGTAAGCTAAAATATTATTTTCAGTTTAATTGAAGAAAACTCAATGAATGTGAACATTTTTAAATGATCAGCAAATTGAATATAATGGAAAATTCAATTTAACTTGCATTAAATGATGATGCGGCAAATACTTTGTTCATTCAGCATCGAATATATCCTGGTCCAACTACGATTGAATTTAAATAAGTTTACGTGAATTTAGCGACGTTTTTCAATCGAAATATCATTCACATTCAATTTTCATTCGAACACTTTGTCTGTTTTCCATGCGGATAATCGAAATTCTCCATGGAATTTATTTCGTTGTCAATTCTATAACAAATCGAATTTCAACAAGGATTATTTGTGTCATTAGCAATGTGATTCATTGAAAGGTACTTATGATAATAATGTGCCATCGTTAACGATCAACCAATATAATATTAATGCGTTTGCAAGAAGGTCGCACGAGCAAAGAAGAGGAAAGCGATTTACTTGAATGATTCAAGCGCAGAGATAATTCGAATTATCTATATTGTTCAATATGATAATTTTGTAACAAAAATGGTATTACAATATTTTTGTACAGTTTTGCAATGAAAATTTGTTACATAAAATTCCGTAAATTAAATCATGTTACCCACCAATTCTGATTTAACGCTCCATTCAATTTTCCCCATAATACAATTATGGAAATAACAAAGGAAGTTCATAGCAAATTGATTCCGAAACAAGGCAATTCCCTGTTCAATGAATGTTCTTAAATTAAGAAATTTAATGGGATAACATCGACTATTTGGATGGCATTGTTTGTAAATGAAACATTTTATGATTTCGAATAAAATTGTATTAATTGTGGATTCATGTCGAAATCATTTGGTTTTTGAGTAAAGTGCAACACATACCGAGTTTTTGTTACAATTTATTACGTGCAACCATATGAAAATAACATTTCATAAAAATGACCGATTCCATTGGAATTGATGATTGTGTTGCATGAATTCAATTATTTTTCGCACAATTTTTTTTGCACCAATTTAGAAACCATAAAACAATTACATGTTTCACATATAAATTCATTAACTATTTAATATGTATGTTTTTCTATTTATACAACAAAGCAATAGATCAAACGTGAGTTTTCAACTTAATTTGGCAAAGCACGACGATAATGACAGCTCGGCAACGCTCTATTAGAGATTAGTGCCGCTGGCAACCGCAGAACTATATAGAATCATATGGAGTCATTTGGTGGCGCTGGCAAGCAATTTTGCCTTATCGTCATGCTTTGTAATTTGGAAAAAAATCCCGTTTGCAGTAAGCATGTTATTAATATTGATTGGATTCCACTCATTGAGTGTTTGTATAACTCGAGGCATTCCAATGTACTACACTGCAACATGCACATTTTATTTGCTCTGTTAAATGCTTGTTCTGATTAATCAAATTACATCCATCATCAAATCGATTTGCAATTGTTTCGAATCATGGTTTTAATTCTGTTGTGAATGTGATATTTATTTGAATTTCATACAACGAAACAAGAGAGCAAACTCATTCATGATAGAGTGCAATGCAGTGACACAATGATGTACATTCCGCCTCCGTGACAGTACGCAATTTCGGCTAATAAGAATCGGCGACAAGCACTCTCCCAAAAACAAAAACATTCATAAGTATACACATCGACAGCAAATTACGCTATTGATTTAGTATCGCTCAAGTGCTCCGTATCGAAGTGCACATCATCGCCACCAATCGCCACATTTGTATGCCGATTTTAGCAATCCTCATTCAGTGACCAATACTCATCTGCACTATGCCGCATCAGAAGTAAATAAACGTTTATTAAAATAAATGAATTTCACAGAAACAATCAATTATCGTCAGAACCATTATATTACCATCGATCTATATCCGATTTATGCCGTTCTTTTAAATAAATAATTTTTCAATCGTTTTCAATGAGATTGCATTTTAGCGGAGCACTTTAATTTGTGTGCGTTGAGATGAAAATATATTGCAACAAAATGGAAATTGAATTAAAAATGGAAAATAAGTACTAAAAGCAACTGATTGATTTGCCGTAATTTATAATAATAATAAAAAAATTCACTCCCTATAATATATATAAATTCGAACATATGTTTTAACACGTTCATGTTACGAATATGTCATTGCAGTTGAATTTATTATATAAAAAAGTGGAACATTTTTCATAATGCACACGCGATAAATAAATCAATTCATTTTCATTCAGTTGATTTGATTATTTTGTTCATGTTCAACTTTTATTAAGCTCAAAAAATGCGTACTTCATTCATCAAAAAAATTACAACATGCTATTTAGACTCATTGCCGTCTAGTTATTTATAATGTAAACAAGTTGAATTACGTGCATTTTGTACACCACATCCCATGGGAAGTGTAACAGAAAAAAAATGAAGAGCAAATATTCTAATTCGTACCTCCAGTGAGCGGTATTCGCCGTTTTGACGCTTCAAAAAAAAAATTCCATGAAGCACTTTCCATTCTCAACTGCTACCAAAAAAATATCGAATTCACTGCATCCACACACCACATGAGAGTTGAAATAATGCTACATGTGGCTTCATATTTGATGTGAAAAATAGTTATTTTATTGAGTTTAAATGAATTCTGACATACCTGCAGCGTTTTTGTGACTTCCAATTATGCACACATCCAGTTCAGTAAAAATAACGCAGAAAAAATTGTACCGCAAAATGCCAGATTCGCATTACATATTGTAAATTTGTTTTACAAATTTCGTTGGCGCATTAATGTTTCAAACATATTTTTTTTCTATCCATAATCGAATTGAATGTTACCACCAAATGTTGTTTTTTAACCACTTTTTCATTCAGCTATTTAAATTAGCTTTTACATTCATTCACAACATATTTTTAAAGCAATCAATGACATTGTCTAACTCTTTTTTTGTTGCTGATCATTTTGTGAATTATAAAATTATTTAACTAGTAAATGAACCATTTTAATTAAAATGATTAGGTGGTTAACCGGAACAATGATAGAAATCATCACAAAAACCGTTTCCGGTGTAAAGTCATCGAATGTATTATATCGAATGAGCAAAATGAAATGGAATCGTCATATTCAATGCTCCTACATCTATGCCGATATGATTTAACATGTCATGCGTCACATGGTTGAAACATAATGAGTTACCGTACACTGTGTGTTCCTACGAGCCTTGTGATGTGTGGATACTGTTATTACATTTTCCTTCACTGCCGCTGCGCAACATGTATCGGCTGGTGTCGAAGGAGTGGAATAACGTACAACAGGCGAGAAACGAAAGAGAGATAGATAGTTACGAGTGAGAGAATTTGTTTGCATTGAGCATAGCATAACAACATTCCGGCACACCGAACCGCGTGGAACATGCAGGAAGATACAATGCGAGAGAGAGCATTTTATGTGACGGAGAGTAAAAGTGGGAGAGAAAAATGGAGAACTTGTTTCATGTGTGCTTCTCAGTTTTTAAAATTCTAAACAAGAAGCAACAATATGAATAGTCGTTAGAATCATTCATCGTGCGAACACCGTACGAGACGGTCAATACACTCCTGCTCTCTGTGTGTGTCAATATTTCATTTCGATACGTGATACACAAATTCTTACGTGAAATCATCAGAGTATCCGTTGGGATAGTCTTTGTTCAAATTCTCAAAGTTCTTCAATAAAAAAAAATTCGCCGCATTGCTAAAAGAGGAAAAAAACATTCTTCAGAAATTTTTTGACGGATTGTAAAATCTCATAATCTCATTAGTTGGAATAAAATCCGATTTGACATTAAATGTGTGCTAAAATTAGATTTTAGCAACAAAAATATATACATCCAAGCATCGAACCATTCTCAGTGGTCGCTACTTATATTTAATTAAAACTGAACATTTGCGCAATAATTTCATTGCTCTTGTTTGTTTCGTTCGTCAAAGTTTATGTTGAACATCCATTCGGTTGAGTTTGTTTTGTGTTTGTGCCTTTAAACAAAATCAACAAACGAAGAAAAATAATCTGGTGCATAAATTAAGTGTCAATAAACCAACGGGCGACAACATTTATTTCAAAGTGATTATCTACCCATTCGAAATCGTTTCCGTGCAATTTCGGATTTTGTAGCGAAACGAAACGCAAACAAGAGTTCATTCTAAAATTAGAAGAATAAAAAAAAAGAAAAATCACCACAAAAATGATGTGCATCATGAAAAGTGTGTTTGCTGTGCTGTTGGTCGGTTCGATGATTTTGGTGAATCGTGTTGAATGTGGATCGTGCCGGGAATCGTCATTGTGCTGCAATGGTCGTGATTCATCGTGCGTTGTACAAAAAGCGCCCATCAATGCAATTATCGAAGATTTAAATGACAAACCATGTTACTGTGACCATGCATGCTTAAGACTTGGCGATTGCTGCACCGACTATCATCATTACTGCGGTGGTAAGTTGAAAATTCACTTGTAAACACTTTACACCAACTCAATTTATCGATTTTAACAAATTTTCATATGTTGAATTTTTGATTTTCGTCGAATATTTATTTTGCAATGATTATGCTCAAATAGCGATCACAGAGATTTACGACGCATACAAACAAATACGGGGCGGGGTGAGGGTTAAATTATAGCGTGCGTGCTTATTCGTATACTTATCGATATCAACAAACGCTCATTTAAATCAATTGGCCCATTAATAATGTTTGCGTGTTGGATAATGTATCCAAATATAGCCATTATTGATTTACGGTATATTTCAATCGGTGCGGATATATACACATAAAACAGTTGATAAATGGAAAATGGCTGATTTAGCGGCAAACGATTATTTGTGTGCTAGAGTGTGTGTGTGTTTGTCGTATTTAAATATTGGGTCGTAAGCAAAATTGTGGTAGAAAAAGTAATGCCAAAGCAACAGCCAAACAAGAAAGTTTTTCCATGAGAAAATTGTGCCGTTGTAAAATGTGTGGTGCTTTTGTTGTTTGAATAAAAAATTTGTCGACAATTTGGAATGAGAAGTGGATGTGTTCAAACGGAGATTTTCTAACACATACCATTTGATCCGACAAAAAGTTTGTCCACGGTTCAAAGTGCTCCCTTTTTCTCAAATTGTATGATGTGGCATTAGAGATAACTCTGGGTTATTGACTGCGACTCCAGTTAGTGCTGCTGGTTTTTCTCCTCTCTTCACTATAAGAAACACGGAAATGCTAAATCCCACAAAGAAACAGACAAGCATGGTTTATTTATCGGAACTCTTCATGCATACAAATTGAGTTCTAGACCATTAGATAACAAATCCAAGGCGAAGAGAATGGTTAATGAATTGATTTGGTCGCTTTTTATTGGCAATGTGGCACACCAACTGTGCTTTAACTTCATTCCATCCGCATTCAAAAGATGGAAAACTTTTATTTGCTAATAGATTAACATGAGCCAAAAAGATAGAGAGAATACACACACCATGATAATAATCTGCAATTCAAATGGATTTACAGAAAGCACTGTGTGTCCACTTTTAATTCTCTGTGGTGATTGTGATTAAAAGCAAAGGATATTCTCCATATCAATTCATGTGAAGAGGCATCAGGTGCATTTTAATAAAATTTTATTTGTGCTTTGGCTCAACCATTTCACTCAATTCTCTGGGTAAAAATTCAATTTTCGTAGTAACACTTGACAAATTAATAAATAGCAGGATTGATTCAAGTGGTTTTGCATGATCAAGAATTTCAACAATTCATTTTTTGAATTACAAAATGTAATAATTAAAATTCTCGGCATTTTTTAGCTTTTCAACATGTTTGCGGATAAAATCACGTTGTTTTTATATATAAATATTTGATGCATGCATGAATAATGGAAATATTTTAATTTTTTTGTGTGCGTCAAAAATGCATCAGATGTAATCAGCGGCGCTCATGTTGCGTTTTTATTCACTAGACAAACAATGGCAGAGATAGAAAGAGAGAAAGAAAGCAACAATCATCAGAAACACACCTCAGGGAGCATTTAGAGGAAATGAGTTTTGCTTGACATTACAACGGATGCATATGCTGTCAACAGTAGCAGCAGCAGAGAAATGTCACATCAACACTGAAGCACAGGGCTTAAGTGTAAAATGCCAGTGTCCGATATGATGTAAAATATTCATTGGCAACAAAATTGTTTACTGTCATTGCCAGACACAATACGAAAATGGAAGTACAAAAGAAGAAAGACCACCACCGTCTCCTTGTATTGTTGTTGCAAATTTTGCGGTTTGGCTGTTGCCGCCAGTTTGCAACATTCTGTTTTTGGTTGTTGTTGTTGTTGTTTTTTTATTTGTGATTCATGGAAAATTTAATTATGCATCGTTGAGCTTTTTGTATGACATCGATGTGCCATTATGCTATTGTTGTCACTTATAACTGAGCGCGTTCGCTTCAAAATATGATACCGCTATAAAGAATGAGGTAAAATGAAATACGGTAAACAATGGAAAATTGCTTTTTTGCTGGATGCCAATTCAGTAACACTCAAAATCACGACAAGTTAGAAAATTTAAACCCGAAACTTTACCGCTCGCGTCAAAATTAATATCAACGAATATGCATGCACTTGTGGCATCACCAGGGGACACATTAACTTAAATGTCAGCTCTCGAATCTCGCTTTGGATTGGTTCATGCAACTAAACCGCCAGTTGATTTTTCATTTTCATCAGAGTGCACCAAATTAAAAAAAAAAACCACCAAAATTGAACGTAAAGTTCAAACAATTGCATAGAGAATTTATTTACGAAGCGCGGCACAAAAAAATGAACAAAAAAATGTGTGCTAGTAATGTTTGTGTATGGCGTAGCATATTTGCACTATTAAGTGAACTCATGCTTTAATTATTTCATAAATCGTGTAAAAGGCATTCTCGATTTGACGATGTGCGATTACCGCAAATGAATAGAGATGAAATGCACGTCAAACTGTGAAGCAAAATTGAATGCTGCATATTCAAATGGGAATGGTTCTTATCACATTGCGCCACATTTTGAAACAGATGCAACTATGGCAACAGTTTAATGTTTACATTAGTATGTGTATTTTAGCAAATGTGTGATAAAAGTCACGCATTCGAATTCAACTTTGATTTACTTTTGCATTTCATTTCGCTTTTTAAATACACCAATGCAAACAATATACCATTTTAAATGGAAGCAAGTCTTTTTCGCGTAAGGTGTACAATTCCATTTTTAATTGAATTGGGGTCGAGAAAATGGTGTATGCCATATACAAATATATGAACCAAGTAAATTCAATAAAAATAGCAATTTACATAATTTATAGTAATGTGTTTTTTTTTTGTCTGTGGGGGGAAACGCAACGGTGAAAGTTGATAGAAACGGTGTGTCTGCGGTTTGTTTGGTTTTCATTTTCGGAACAGCATGTAGGATATTCTTCGAAATATGTCTTCAATACATGCATGCCATGCCGTTTCTTTGCATCGCTGATTTTCCTTTTTTCACCATGTGAAATTCTAATTTCTTCATTCACACACACACATGATGTGTTTGAGCCCACGATCCATTTATTTTGCACGGAGCAGAAACAAAGGAAGTGGCAAAAAAAATTCCAACACTGGTGAATGCGCAAAGATTTATTTATTGTCGTTGCTCGAACAATTTGTTTTCCTTTTTGTGTATGCATGAATATTTTGGAAATTCCATGAGGGTGTACCAACGGTATTTGCCAAAGATAGATGGTAAGATGGAAATCCCGTATCCTTTCGCTTCCTTATTCTTCTTGTTTGCGTCTTGTCCTCTTGTTTGTGCGCACAATGTATAGTCGTTTTCAATAAGATCTGTTACAGCGAACTGTCAAAATTTTGAACAAACAACATACCCTCAACAAAATTCAAACCAAATTGACACGTTTAACTAAGGAGCCTTGTGTACTTTTGAATGGAAATGTGTTCCGAAATTCATTGTATTAGTTTGACAACACAGATCTTTTTGGAAACGACTATACATTATTTATGGTGGCTGTTGGGCAAATTATCTTGTTGCACTCTAACCTGGAAAACTATGAGATTCAGCAGTAAATTTGTACGTTGTAAAATAGAACATGCATGCTTATTCGCCAAATAAAATATGATCTTGTCGATAAATTCAGCTCTACTGTTTATGCTCAAACTCAGCCAATACATATTGCTGCTGAAATCACAAGTATGCCAGAAACACGACCACAAAATACAGGAACAAATCTTGTACATATTGGATTAATTGCAACACACACACGTCCATAAAATATCGTATACTCGAAGGCATTCGACAAAATGTTTGCGAAGAGTAAAATGTGCTTATATTTGCTCGTTACGTTGTTCAGCATCGTTTGCGGCGACGGCGTCGATTCAATGACAAAGTTTTCGAAAACATCTTACGGAACTTAAAGTGTCTGTCGAATAAATGAACCAACATGATCATAATATATTAACTCTATTCTATGCGCATCAATTTCGCGAATATCTTCCGTCGCTTGATGTACGAGCTATCATTAAAACTTTTGTCAGTTTCAATTGATTTGTATTTGTAATTTTTGTAAGCGAATATATCCGAATCATCCAGAGAATGGAATAATTTACCAACCGAACACATTCTTTTTTCGTTTTTTTTCTGCTCTCTTTCCGGCTGGCATCACAAACAAAATCAAATGCGAACTTTTGCCCAAGAAAATGTGGCAACAAAAGAGCGACTACATTGAATGGAAAAGGAAGTGATGGGAACAGGAAAGTTCACTGAATTGAATGAATCAAGTATTTTCTACCCGGAACACGGCATTCTGAATGCATATAATTCTCACATTTTGTTAAACAGTATAATGAGTCCGCGCCAAATTTGAAATCATGCCATGTATAACACGAAACGCACTCATTTTCGTCAACGCTTGCGAACCGAAAGAAACAGACGCAGGCAGGAAAACTGTAATTACATGTGTTTTTTCTCTCTCGTTCATTCACATTAGTTGATTGAAGTATTCATTTTCACGAATATCGTCAGCGATGCCATTTAAATTAGCTTAGACGAACGCTTTCAACCACTCCCACAATTTCTTTCCTGTTCGCATGAGTACAAAAGCGCCACATGAAAAATTGCATGCGTATTTGTTACAAGCAAAAATGAATGGGAAGTCATTAAAAACTGTATATTTGAAAAGCACCAAGGAAATTAGACCGCTGAGAAATGGACACGAAGCGGCAGCATACAAAAACAAAAAATCACATTTTAAACTCGAGAAAATTCAAAGAGTCTGTTCGGCGAACATTATAATGTTGTAAATATATTTACTTTTTGTTCAAAATGAAAAGGAAAAATGTGAAAGACAAAAACCTGCCACCGGAAAAAAGTGCTATCGCAAATTGCGATAAAAATGAAAATGATGTGTTTCTTTACCTCAGATTCATATCGACGTTGT